CACCACCGAGAAGGCCCTCTGCCTGGTTCCCTGTAACTCACTTCTCGCAGGGAGGGAACTGCCAGAAGGCCCTCAGAGCTGGACCTCAGTGTCCGGGCTGGATGATTGGGGTGGAGACGCTCCTTCAGGTATACAGGACCGAGGTTGTTTAGGGCTTTAAAGGTCAAGCAACCAACTTGGAAACCTACTGGGAGCCAATGTAGGTCTTTCAAGACCAGTGTTATGTGGTCTCGGCGGCCACTCCCAGTCCCCAGTCTAGCTGCTGCATTTCTGGATTAGTTGTAGTTTCCGGTCACCTTCAAGGTTGCTCCACATAGAGCGCATTGCAGTAGTCCAAGCGGGGAGATAACCAGAGTATGCAGCACTCTGGCGAGACAGTCTGCGGACAGGAAGGTCTCATCCTGCATACCAGATGGAGCTGCCCTGGACACAGAATGGACCTGCGCCTCCATGGACAGCTGTGAGTCCAGAATGACTCCCAGGCTGCGCATTCTGGTCCTTCAGGGGCACAGTTGCCCCATTCAGGACCAGGGAATCCCCACACCCGCCCACCCCTGTCCCCCAAAACATTCCTTCTGTCTTGTCAGGATTCAGCCTCAATCTGTTTGCCACCATCCATCCTCCAACCGCCTCCAGACACTCACATAGGACCTTCACCGCCTTCACTGGTTCCGATTTGAAAAGAGAGGTAGAGCTGGGTGTCAGAAGAAACGGGCATAATGCGCCAGCAGCAGCGCAGTCAGATGCCTTCCTCTGCCCCACCTGCAGCAAAAACCTGTCTCTCCCCTGTTGGTCTCTGCAGCCACAGCAGGCGCTGTAAGCTCCCAACACTTTGACTTCACCCCAAGGTGCTCTCCTCCATCGTCTCCCGATGCAAACAAATGCCGGCCGTTTGCTCAGAGCTGCCTTTGCCAACCAGTGGTAATTTTAGCCCCCAAACATCTGGGAAGGTGCCAGGTTGGAAAAGCCTTGTTCAGAAGCTCTGTGATTCCTGCATTGCATGGGGTTGAGCTGGATAACCTTCAGGGTCCCTTCCAACCCTACAGTTCTGTGATTCTATGATTCTGTGAAACAGCACCGGGTCTGCAAGCTCTGGTCTGCTCTTGACTTCGGCCTTTGCTCCCTATTCCTCTCCCTCCTCAGGGTGGACTTGATTTCAATCAAATCAATTTAAATCACGATTTAAGTCACTAGTCAGTAAGACTTGATATAAATCATTTTTTATTTTTGTTTTACGGAAAAGACTCATTCTTGCTGGTATCACCTTAATATTTACAACCAGATGAATGTTTCGTTTTTGGAATAATCAATTTTCCGAGTAGTTTTTACCGTTATATCAAAAATTACTGATTTGGTTACACTATTAGAAATACATAGGCACATAATTATGAAAATCGTTGGGAGGTTTAATAAGTTCACTGTTTTATATTTGGACAACTTTTCCGGCTGTGCTTTATTGGCAGGAGAAAAAATAATCATTTCCTTAATGGCAAGTTAAAGAAATTATTTAACTAAAACAATAACGTAATAGCATATGTATGTATGTTTGTTAACTAATGCGGTTAAACAATTAAAAAAAACAAAACAACTTAGACTGAGTTTTAGCCCACATGAAAACTTAAAACAAATCCTTATTTCCTGATGAATAGCCTTTTGGACTATAATGTAACTTCAATAGAAAACTATCTTTAGAAAGATTTTTCCTCCGAGAGCATTTTATTTTTAAAAATCTGATTTAAATTTTTTAAAAAATCTGATTTAAATCAAAGAAATCTGATTTAAATCAAAGAAATCCAATTTAAATCAAAGAAATCTGATTTAAATCAAAGAAATGTGATTGTTATTTTTTAAAACCATTGATTTTTATCCACCCTGCCCCTCCTCCAAGAGGAAGAGCTATAGCTCAGCGGTCGGGCATCCGTTCAGTCCCCAAAAGCATCTCTAGTCAGGGCTGGGAGAGCCTCCTTGAGTCTGAAACCCTGGAGAGCCACTGCTGTCCGTCTGTGCAGATAGCAAAGTCTTAGATGAAGGCGCTTGCTACATTCCTCCGTTTGAGAGCAGCGCCTCTTCCCTCCTCCACAGGCTCCTCCTTTGTCAATTTCCTCTTCTCCCTCTGCTTCTCTGATTCTTGAAGTGCTCTGGCGTGGTTTCCACGGCAACCGATATGTCAGCGTAGACTAGCATTTCCCCCCCAAAAAACACGGCTTCAAGTCAACTGAGGCTGGAGTTGAAGGCAGCTGTGGGGTGATCTGCATGTTCTAGCAAGAGCGGAAGGGCAGGATCCAGGCATCAAACCCTCCATCCCACCTGGGGCCTCCCAGATCTTCTGGACCACAGCTCCCATCATTAGCCTCGGCCAGCGGTGGACATTTGTGGTCCAGAACATCTGGAAGACATCTGGTTGGGGAAGATTGGGCTTGGTTATGGGGAAATTTAATTTGGTCTGGGATCGTTAGAGGGTCACTGCCCTTGACCCCTGCACTCTCTTTTTCTTTTTTCCATCAGGGATGGGATGGGCGGGGGGAAAGTAATAGAATCATATAAAGTTGTGAAGGGATCCCCAAAGGTCATCCATCCCAACCCCCCCTGCAATATATATATAGTCCAGCCCACCACATGGTCTGAGGGATGGTGGACCGGCCCATGGCTGAAAAAGGTTGCTAACCCCTGAAGTAAATAAATAGGTACCGCTGTGGTTTCCATCACAGTGTCCCGTTGCACCAGAAGTGGTTTAGTCCTGCTGGCCACATAACCTGGAAAACTTTCTGTGGACAAACGCCATCTCCCTTGGCCTGAAAGCGAGATGAGTGCTGCAACCCCATAGTCGCCTTTGACTGGACTTAACCATCCAGGGGTCCTTTACCTTTACCTTACCCCTTTTAGAGTGCAAAAAGGAGCCAGCAGGGAGATGGGAGAAAGACTGGTGGAAGTATAGAATATCTGAGGTTTTTTTGACCAGCATTTCTGTTTTCCTGTGTTTTTCCTGCAAAGCTAATTATTGTGGTCGCTTATTAACCACGTTGCAATAACTTTCTCATCCCTATAAAAGCTGGCAAGTTCTGTCTCTAGACAGAAGAGCTTATCCATTGGCTTCAAGAGTGTCTGGCTGGTGGGGGTCTTCTCCAGCAAAAATGCCTTGTCTTGATAAACAGGGTTTTGAATAAACTTTTTCCCCCTGACCACAGCACAGAGGCTGGGTTTTCTTCCACAGAGACTCATCCCAACCCAAACAAACAAACTTTACCCTGGGGGTGGGGGAAAAACTGGCAGGCTTCAGGCTTTGTCAGGTCTACTTTGCTTTTTTACTGGAACTCCAAGATCTGCCACTTAGAACCAAGCGCTGAAAACGTTTAGTTGCTTAGTTGTTTAGTCGTGTCCGACTCTTCATGACCCCCTGGGCCAGAGCACGCCAGGCACTCCTGTCTTCCACTGCCTCTCATAGTTTGGTCAAACTCATGCATCACTACTGGGAAAACCATAGCTTTCACTATACGGACCTTTGTTGGCAAGGTGATGTCTCTGCTGAAAACGTTAGAGCTAGAATTAAAAGGTGAGGTGTGTCTCTGAGCACATCCTGAGACCCAAAATTCATTTTCAGCACCAAAGTGGGTTCTCTCCCCTCCCCCCGGCTAGCTTCCTGTGGCCCAGTGGCCCAGTTTTAGGTGTCAAAAGCCACTCGCTGCTCCCCAGGAACCCTTTCTGCCAGCTGACTGCAAACCGCTCGGAGTTCTCCCACCCTTCCCCGTCTGTCTACCTCCTTCCCACACCTGGTTCACAGGTGGCCCTTTGAACCCCTGCGCCACTCACACAGCCCTGGAGAGGGCAGCAGCACGCAGGTCCCAGCCGCAGCAGTGCTTCCACCCGAGGATGTGTGCCTGAGCTGAGTGTGGATTCCAGAGAACCCTGGCAGGCAAAGAGAGGGGGGGCTGGTGCGTGCAAGAGCGTGGGTGGGTGTTGGGCGTGTGTCTCTGCTGCAGTGTGCATGCATGCATGAGTGAGTGAGAGAGAGAGGAAGCATGGCACCTGCCAGCACACCTCATGTGTGAGAGCCACGCGTGGCAACCTCCTCTGCCATGCCCAGTGAATGCCCAGGGAGGGTTTGCACAGCAGCCTTTCACGCTGGGCTCTGTCTCAGGCAGGGGGGCTTTCTTCTCCCCTCTCCCCACCACCAACCACCATACTGGCCCCCTTCCCCAAAATGATGGATTTGCCTGCGCTCTCTCCTTCCTCTCTCTCTCTCTCTCTCTCTCTCTCTCTCTCTCTCTCTCCCTCCCTCCCTCTCTTTCTTCCATTGAGAAATAGCATCAGCTTTGTTTAAAAGCAAGGCAGTGGAGCACAGCTCTGCCTCACCACCCCCCCTTCCCTCTCCCCTCTCTCTTTTTTAAATGACAGACAGTTACTTAGCAACAGAGGGGAGTTTTAGGAGAAGGTGAGAGTGACAGCAAAAAGAAACTCCACAGTCTCCCTCTCCCGGTGCACACTCCCCCCCCCCCTGCACCCCACATGCACACGAACACGCAACCGCTGGGCACCTTCCCTCCCTCTCCCTTTGGGTCCCCCTCCTGGGGGGGGGGCGAGAGAGAGAGAGAGAGAGCGAGAGAGCGAGAGAGAAAGAGTGTGTCTCTTTGCGACGGGTGGCTTCTTGCCCGCCCCCGCCCCCCAGCTAAGGCGGCTCCGTTGAAAGGAAAGCCCCCCTCGCGCGCACGGGATCAGTAAGCGCTCTGCATCCACATGCAGGTGACTGAGCGGGGGTGGGGGAGCGGGCGGCGGGGAGGGGGGAGGGCCCGGCGCCCCCCCCCCCTCCGAAGCAGGGAGGGGAAGGAAGGAGCCTCCTTTGCCCGGGGAGAGCGGGAGGGCGAGAGCCTCTGCCCGCCTCCCCGCCTGACGGGCTCCTGCCTGCGATGAGCGCCTGGCTGGGAAGAGGCCCCCCCTCGAAGGCAGGGCGCGATGGTGCTGACGGCTCCCCCCGGCTTCATTTTCTTGTGCTCTTTCCTGCCCAGTGACTACATCATCGAGGAGAAGGCGGCCGTCCTGCAGAAGAGAGAGCATGAGGGCTTTGGCTTCGTCCTCCGGGGCGCCAAAGGTAAGACCCGGTGGGTTGGGGGGGGGCGGCGGTGGGAGGGCAGGGAGAGGGCTGGCTGCATGATGGGAGTGGCATGGAGCTGGCCCCAGGTGATGGCGGGGCTTCCTGGCACTGGGTCCTGCCCGCCGGCGGGGTCTGGTGGCAGCGTATCTCCGGGAAAGGGTGTGCGAGAGACACAAAGATGGTGCCCCTTGGATGCCCGAGAGCGCAGGGGATACTTTGTGTGTGTGTGTGGCTGTGTGTGTGTGTGGCACAGGTTGTGCCCTCTCCTCCTGCATGCCACGATGCCTCTCCTCCCCAAAACGGGCACCCCACAGCAAAGGGGGCACCTCTCCCTGATAAATGCTCTTCTCCCATGTTCCTTCCCCTTGGGTGCAGCTCTCCTCCGCGAAGAGGGCTCCCCTGCTCCTATCTCGGAGGGGGCGGGTTGCCGTGACCCACATGTGCATTGCCAGGAATTGGAAAGCACTTCTCCCCCCCCAGCTGTGGCTTCTTTGCCAAGGGGGGGGGGTCGGCTAGATTCCCGTTGGAAGAGGGCTTTGTGTCTGGAATGGGAGAGAGATAGAGCATTCACAGTCTGGGGAAATTTGTTCCTGGGAGTGGGGGTGGGGGTGTTTTCTGGGGGTGGGGGGGCATATCCAGGGAGACTGAAGTCTGGGCTTTGGGGTGGGGACGCACCTCCTGAAGGGATGGTCCTTCAGGAGTGTGTGATTTGGGGAGATTGCGAAGCGATTCCTTCCACTCCAGATGCAAAGGAATCAGGACACCCCCTGGGTGGGTTTATGGTTGGCAGGAAAAAGGAGGAGGGGGCCCCCTGAGAGTTTGCAGCCTCTCTGCTATTCCCCAGCCCTTCACGGAGAGGGAGCTTCTTCCCAAAGCTGTGTTAGCGATTCTGCCCTAAACCCCTCTTACATTCATTTGCAGGCTCCCTTTGTAACGTATGAGAAGCACGCCAGGCCCACCCCCTTCCCCCTTGGGGGAATACACACACACACACATGCATATACATATATATAAGGTAAAGGTAAAGGGACCCCTGACCACTAGGTCCAGTTTTGGCCAACTCTGGGGTTGCGGCGCTCATCTCGCTTTACTGGCCGAGGGAGCTGGCATACATGCTTTCGAACGGCTATGTTGTCAGGAGCAGGGACCGAGCAACGGGAGCTCACTCCATCGCGGGGATTCGAACCGCCGACCTTCTGATCGGCAAGTCCTAGAATATATATATATACCATTTGCTTCCGTTGCTCCAGAGAGCTCAAGGCGGTGCACATGGTTCTTCCTCTCCCCATTTTATCCTCACAACACCCCTGTGAGGTAGGCCTGCCCGAGAAAAGGCAATGACTGGTCCACAGCCAGTCATGATGGCTGAGTGTGGGATCTGAACCCTGGTCTCTCAGGTCATGGGAGGGACACGGGTGGCGCTGTGGGTTAAACCACAGAGCCTAGGGCTTGCCGATCAGAAGGTCGGCGGTTCGAATCCCCGCGACGGGGTGAGCTCCCATTGCTCAGTCCCTGCTCCTGCCAACCTAGCAGTTCAAAAGCACATCAAAGTGCAAGTAGATAAATAGGTACCACTCCAGCGGGAAGGTAGACGGCATTTCTGTGCGCTGCTCTGGTTCGCCAGAAGTGGCTTAGTCATGCTGGCCACATGACCCGGAAGCTGTACGCCGGCTCCCTTGGCCAGTAAAGCCAGATGAGTGCTGCAACCCCAGAGTCATCCGTGACTGGACCTAACGGTCAGGGGTCCCTTTACCTCTCAGGTCCTAGTCCAGAACTCTTAACCACTGCACCACCAGGCGGTTCTGCAGGGAAGGAAGGAGCAGCTGCCTGGAGCCAGGAGTTGCTTTCTGCGCTCCAGGTGTGGGGAGAGAACCTCCAGCTCTTGCAGGAGATGTCTCCCTGAGCCTTGGTGCTAGCGCCGCTGGAGATCACAGCTCACACGATGGTGCCCTTCCCTGGCCTCTGCCACAGGTTGCGGGGTGCTGCAGGGGCCCGTTTTCTGACTCACACAACGGCGAAAGGTTCAAGTGTGCAAAATTCCCATCATGCCTGGATGACATCTCAACAGCTCTGGTGTCCTGAGGGAGACCACAACCACCTTGGTCCTAGTGATTGGAGACACCCAACCGCCCAGGTGGTGATGGGAATAATAATAATTTATTATTTGTACCCCACCCATCTGGCTGGGTTTCCCCAGCCACTCTGGGCAACTTCCAACAAAGACCAAAAATACACTAAAATGTCACACATTAAAAACTTCCCTGAACAGGGCTGCCTTCAGATGTCTTCTGAATGTCAGGTAGTTGTTTACCTCTTTGACATCTGGTGGGAGGGTGTTCCACAGGGCGAGTGCCACCACCAAGAAGGCCCTCTGCCTGGTTCCCTGTAGCTTTGCTTCTTGCAATTAGGGAACCGCCAGAAGGCCCTCAGTGCTGGACCTCAGCATCTGGGCAGAACGATGGGGGTGGAGACGCTCCTTCAGGATGGTCCTGTCAATATGTGCAAGGAAACATGAGCCGCTGGGGGGTGGGCTTTGCCCTATGGGGTGGGCAGGAGGGCAAAGACAAGCATCTCAAGAGAAGTGCCTTTTGCCTGATGGTGGGGCAGGGAGAATGAGTATTGCTGTAGCATCTCTGTGTCCTTGCGATCCTGAGCTTTCCTTTCCAGAAAAGCCAAGCGGGTTTTCCCAGCCCTGCTGTGCCTGCAGAGAGTGGCTTGCCTAAGGGGTCAGCAAGCAAACAAGTGCCCCCCCTTTGCCAGGGTGGAGTGGTCTTGGGGTCCAGAGGTTTGCAGGAGCCTCTCCCCCCAAAGAGGAAAGCCACACACACACCTTGAACAAAAGCAAGGGAATGGGCGCTGGCGTTTCCGAACAATAAGAGGACGGATACAATTTCTCTTTGCTTGCATTTTCATATCATTGGAGCCAAACATGAGTGATAGAGCCCAACTATCTCTTCTAAGGATGGCATCTCTGATAGAGGGGAGCAAAGCTATTTCTCTACCTCTGTGTCTCCGTTTGGGGTGATTCCCATAGCTGCGCGCCTGCCTTTTGCTGTGGTTGTTGCCTTCAAGGAACCGGCCCTCAGTAGCCCAGAGAGAATCCTTTTGACCTCCACTCATCCATTTGGCTCAACCGTGCCCCCAAACACATATTTCTTTGGAAAGCCGAATCATGAAAATACAATAAATTATTCAAAAGAAAGGAAATGTATGTATCTGTGCTTTGCATATTTATGTGGGCCTTGACTCGGAGAACAGCATCTGGGCCAAAGATGCTATGCCCCTGATTTAAAGGTCTGTAGCCTACACTGATATCCCAAAAGCTCCTGGGAGGTGGAGAGGTCACCTAGGGTCATAGAACCTTTGGGTTATCTGGTCCAACCCTTTGCAATGTAGGAATTCCTGCTAAAGAATCCCTGACAAACCGCCATCCAAGCTCTGTTGGAAAGCCTTCAAGAAAGGAGAGATCACTACTTCCTGAGGGAGTCTGTTCCACTGTCGACCACTCTTACCGTCATAAAGTTCTTCCTTTGAATCCATTGGTTTGGATCCTACCATTTTTAGCAGCAGAAAACAAGCTTGCTCCATCTTCCATGGAAGATCCCTTGTGATAATTGGAAGGTGCCCACCTCTCAGACTTCTCTTCTCCAGGCCAAACGTGCCCAACTTCCTCCACCGTTCTTCACAAGATCCCTTTATGGTCTTGGTTCCCCTCCTCTGCCCACCTTCCAGCTTGTCAATATCCTTCTAAAACTATGGTGACAAGAACCAGACATTGGACCCCCAGTGTGGCCTGACCAAGGCAGAAGAGAACGGTTCTGTGGCTTCCCTTTTTTTTTAAAAAAAAAAAAAATTATTCAAAGTTATAACAAAACATATTTTCCAAAAACATATCATTCCCCCCCATTTTTCCTCCCCCCCCATAAAACCCATCCCCCCACCCCACCCCCCGACTTCCCTCAGTTCCAGTCTTTGGTTTCTCCAATAATGCTATTTTCTGCATGTTACAGAGTTGTATAGATCCTCCAACTGTTTAGCTAATTATTATCAGTAAAAAAATTGTGAGTGTTCATTCAAAACCTGCCAAGGAGTCCAGTTCGCTTTGTTGCGTCTTCAAATACTTTGTGAAAGGTTCCCATTCATCCTTAAAGTCACAGTTATCCTTATTTCGTAGTTTATATGTCAATTTTGCCAGTTCTGCATAGTCCATCAATTTTTCTTGCCATGATTCTTTAGTTGGGGTTTCTTCAGTCTTCCATCCTTGTGCTACCAGAACTCTCGCGGTTCTGTGGCTTCCCTTGATCTGGACTTCTCCATAAAAGTTGTCTCCTCCCAAGAACCCAGTTCCATTGGGGGAAACTGAGCAGCCAGCTGCCAGAGTAGCATTGTGACTAAGAGGTCGCCCCCAATTCGAATCTCGCTTCTTTAGCAGTGGGTGTCTTTAGACCAGCCCCCCCTCCTTTCTCAGAGCCTCCTGTGTGCATGGGATGATGACAGTGGCCTACCTTGCAGGGTCATCGCAAGAACTGCAGTGTGATGATGAGAAACCAGTAGGAGAACACTTCAGTCTCCCAGGGCATTCTATACAAGATCTCAAAGCAGCTGTCTTATTACAAAAGAATTTCAGAAATAGACTGGAAAGAGAAGTCGCTGACTTGCAACTTATTACCAAACTTAAAACCATGGAGAGACCTGGTCTGAATAGAGACATTGGATTCTTATATCATTATACATGATAAAGCTCTTTTTAGCCATCTCACCCCTTGCTTTTTCCTGTAAGACCAACTGCAGTGGTTAACAGTCAACAGGTTTACCCCACCTATCCGCCAATCACCCATTCCCACCACCCTTCTGAGTAATACCCCTCCCCACCCTCTCACTATCTTTTTAAAAATAATAATAATAATTTTTATTAAATTTTCCATTTTAACAATCAAATTACATTGAATATTCCAAATTATACAAATACATATCATATAGTCCAAATATTCTGCCAA